CTCGATGAGTTTCTGGTTGGTGTCTTCCATGTTTTCAACCGCCTGCTTCAGTTTACGAACCTCTTCCTGCAGTTTTTGGTTATTTAGTTGCAGATCTGCCACACAGAAGACCAGATCTGATGTCTCCCTGTACAATACAAACACAAAATAACTCAGAATGCAGATTTAGATTTCTAACTTTTGTATAAATAAGCATTTAAGCATAATCCTTTAAAGATCAAAAGGTTTTTAAGATCATGAAAAGAAAATCGATTCAAGTGTGCCCAAAGTTTTGATTGATACAGTTGATACAGTCTCACAAACAACATGAGCACTACTGTTAACGCTTTATCCGTCACAAACACACAACTCGCACTCCTAAACTTACAGGTCAGCTCTGGAGGCTTCCCCTCCAAATGCTTCTAGACTACCTGAGGTCATATTCAGTAGAGCAGATCTCTTTGCTAAAGGAAAAAAGAGGTGATTGAAACAAACTCATAATAATAATAAAATAAAATGCAACATATGAACAACATGAGCATTCTGATATACTCCTAAGAAGATCTCACCTGATAAACTGTCCCGTAGTTTGAATGATTCCTGTTGGGTGTCATTCTTTGAGTCCGTTCTAAATGAAAAGGGGAAATTTGAGTTGGATTTTATCTCCAGAAAAACTGTCATGGGGAAAATTTAGCAAAGAAAGGCCTTTTGATCAAAACTGATTGTGGATTGATAGCAGACTGGTGAAAATCTGCAATGTGTCTTTGGTGGGGGTGGCAAAATCTACAAAAGGCATACCGCATAAAGTTGTTGGCAAAAACAACTGCTTCCTTTTAACTTACCAAAACATTCAGCAAAATTAACAGGAGGTCAACAACCAGCATATTTCTTGTTTTTTTGTCCTGTGCAATATTTTCCCAACCTTTTTTATCTCTGCTCTATCAATAAGGCTCAAACACCCCTTCATGGACACAAAACCAGAAATGTGCAGTTATATCATTTAACACTACTATTAATATTATTAAAATGGCCATTATTACAGTAATTCACTGCGTATCGTTGTTCTAAAGCATAAGCACGTCTTCATACCCCTGGTTGCGACAGTCATCAATCCACTCCTTCATGATGGCATGGTACGTATCCAGGTCTATGGAGATGTCCTTGTGCTCTGGGTCCAGCATATTGCAGAGCTCTTCTAGGCCGCTGTCCTCTGAACTGCGGCAGGTGGTGTGTCTCAAGAAGTCCACAATGTGCGATACATAAACCTTACCTGCAACAGAGGACTGTGTTACTATGGTTACAGTGGCAAGAGTCAGAGGGTCCTGGGTCTCGTCAGATACCATCCCAGCAAGTAAGTTTGCAAATCAACACCTACTTGTTCTGAGTCACCATGACCGTGTCTCTGAACATATCAATATAAAAGTCTGCTGCTATCGTCGCTTTTAACAGGTTGTAACAAACAAAACAAAAAAACACTTTTCGCATTCATTTACACAGCAAATTGCATCCATGAGAAGAATGGCTGTTCATAAAAAACGCTTTTGTTCTCCTTTAGCTTAGCGGTCTGATCACCACAAACAGCACATCAGGTCAGAGACATCATGAGGAGAGAGCAGGGATTCATTAAGGACAGATCAGAAGGCCTTTGCCTCTAAGTGTGAATGCTGAAAAGCATGAATCTGAATGAGTCAATGTCCTTAGATGCTCTTAGTGGTTACTTTAGTTTAACCAAACAAAACCACTGGCATTGTAATGTTATTCCTCAGCAGGTTGTAAAGCTGACTAATATCTGAGAAACAGGAGGGAGCAGTTAAAGTCCACTAAACATCAAAACATGATTGTCCTCAATGCACAATTCTGGTATTTATGTGGACACATTAGTGAAATTTCATGTGCAAAAAAATGATCCATTGTCAATAGTATAGCGACTAACTTGAACCTGCTTTAAAATCTCACGCACAAATCTTTAGCCCTCATGCAAAATTCATGATCATGTGGATTCCTACTGAAATTACTAGATATGGTATAGATATTACTAAAACTTCACAGAACAAAGGTAAATGTAGCTTATTGAAAGCGCAAGAACTTTTATTCCGTAATGATTTTAATTTACATTTCTGTTGAAATCACTTAAGTCCCCCTGTGGTGATTTTAATATGCTTTAAGACTAACCATGTACAAATTCATAAGTCAACACCATTGCTGAGTTTTTTCTCTTTAAAACTGCAGTGAACCAAAGACAGTCTCAAAAATGCGGTTTGAAATCGCTGGTGTTTCTGACTCAGTGAAACCAATCACGTCAATGAGTGATAGTCAGAGTGGATCTCAGAGCTGATGTGAGGTGGGGCTAATTTGCATATTCATAGAACCGCATACTAAGAGTTACATTCAAGCTATTTTAAGGCATGAAGATATTTTTTTCAATTATTTTGGTGATCAAAGATGAGTTTTAAGGGATACAAATTATTAACTACAGGTGGACTTTAAGCTGTGTGGGCTATTGGATTATATTAAACAACAGCAAGATAACTATTTAGGCAAAGTTGAGCAAACTTGCATTGAAGCTTGTAACAAATAACAATCAACATTCAATCAATTCCAGACGGAAACTGGAAAACGGAAACTGAAAAAACAGTACTAAACAGTCCCAAACAGATGTAAATACCTCTGCATTGTGTGTCACAGGCCTGAAAAATGGTGTCCAACAGGTCTTCCTCGCATATCAAACTGACCTCAGCCATGCTCTCCTTCTTGGGCTCAGAGGGAAACAGAGATCCTGTTCAAAACCAATGAAAAGACAAAAAAACAGTTACCGCTATTAACAAAACATTTACGACATTAAAAAGAGAACTAAAAAAAGAGGTGATTCATTACCCTCGCCCAGTGAAAGTCTCTTGACCACAAGGGCCGGGTAGGTCAGTTCACTGTCCATGTTAGAAATATCTGAAGTGAAGTTCAGGTTATACGATAACAAGCCGGGATTTGGGATCTTCGAAGTCTTCACCTCCGTGTCGGGCCCCACTAGCTGGGTTTGTGTGGAGTAGCGTGGGGTAAAGTTGAAATAATTGTCCCCAGTCTGGCCTGCTGGTGTGGAGCAGTTGCGCCGAAATGGCCGGCTGTACGTTGCTGTGGTTCTCCTCTCCCCAAGCGTGCTGGTGATGGTATAGGTGGCATTGGCAGGGGTGATGGGAGCACGAGGGGTGTTGGAGGAAGACCCCGGTCCGGGGGAAGTTGTGGGGGTCAGCATGTCCGCAGGGGAATCGCAGTCAGTCTCTCCGTCTGGTCGGACAGTACGTTTCTTCAGGATGGCCTCCAGGTTTAGGCGCAGCCCCGAGTGAGGGCTGTCGTAGCTGCTAGACTGAAACTTAGGAATTTGAAAGGGTGAGTTAACCTCTTGGTCTCGCCGCTGGATGGTCTGTAGCTTGCGGCAGATGCTGTCCACGGGGTTGTGCCGTCTCGGGGTCACTCCAACATCCATTTTGGAGTGGGAAAGGAGAGAAAGCCTCAACCTACAGGAGCGACATGAGTTAATTAGTTCAAAGCTTAAAACAGAGTGAATAGTATTTGGCAGGTCATGTGATCTCAAAATGGCTATATATAGTTTAATACGTCAATCACGTCCACACAGATAGATAGATAGATAGATAGATAGATAGATAGATAGATAGATAGATAGATAGATAGATAGATAGATAGATAGATAGATAGATAGATAGGATACAAAACATAAAAGATTGTTAATAAACTGATTTATGAATGCATCGTTAGAATATACAATACAAATGTTTCATACATTTTAAACGGTCACTGCGTTATTTGTTTTTTTATGGGTGACGTGACAACTAAGTTACGTCTTAATGTGGTAAAAAAAAAACGGCCATAAGTAAAAACCTAACACACTTATCTTAAAATATTGCCCAAGTATGATCTCGTGTATAAAAAGATAACTATCAAAAACAGAAAAGCAAAAAAAGCAAACCAACCTGTCAGAATCCGTCTAGCAGCTAATGGGGAATCCAAACGCAACGCAAAACGTTTTTGTCACTTTTAAGGTGAAAATAAAGGCCACCTTCAATTTCATGTGGTGTCTCTGTTATCTTTTGAGGACATTTATACGGGACAAGCTAATATTGGAAAGCTACTGTTGGAAAAACAAACACACCTGAATCTGTTCAAACGTTGCCGCCGCGGTCGGTTCACAAATAAGTGCGTCAGAAGCGTCACACAGCTGATCGAAGGCCGTATTAAAATCTGCGGCGCACTGACACCTTGCGTCCAATGATGGAACTGCAACTGACAGAGGCTGAATAACAGAGCATTGATTCCTCATATTTTCATTAATGGGCCTATTATTACAAATGTTATCAAATAAACGCAATTTAACGTATGCTATATAAAGATCTCCGGTAAAAAAAAAAAAAAAAAAAAAAAAAATGTGACCATGTTCATATATTATAGATATAACAAAATGAGTGTGCCTTTATTAAAAATTTAGAATCCATAAACACATAACGTAAGATCTCCAGAAAAAAAATATGTTGTGACCACGTGCATATGGTATAGATGTAATAAAATTAGACCTATGGAAACCTATTGCAATTGAGTGCCTTGGGAGATCATTTAAAAAGGCACCCTTTACCCCAGGGGGCTTCAGTAGGCTACCCTATCCTGTGCCTGTGTGCCGTATTTAATATATAAAACTGAAATTTTTATGTTTAAATAAATTAACGTCAATGTTAATTTCCAACTACCAATAATTTCCCACATTTTCAACCAAAATGTTTTTTTCTCCATTCACACAATCAATTATAATGATGGCACATAGCCTACGTGCATTTCTATATATATATATATATATATATATATATATATATATATATATATATATATATATATATATATATATATATATATATATATATATATATATATATTTTTTTTTTTTTTTTTTTTTTTACATGCTCTGTTTGTTTTGACACACTGGCTTTGATATGGTGTGATCTGTAAGAGGTTTACAGACGGCGCACATTCATCATGGCGAGCGTTGCATCAGCCACGAGCGCACCATCATCTCATTCTTACAAGGTAAAGGAGCGCGCGTCACATTCATTCGCGTTTCAACCTTTATGTGTTTGATGTCTAAACCCTGTCATATTTTACATACAACCACCGCTGCGTATGACCACCGCTGCGAAAATGCACGCTCGGTGGTCATGCGTGTACGTTAAACAAGAGATTAACAAAGTCTCTCTGTCTTTCGCATTTTCAACGCATTATTCTGCAGTGCATTGTATTGAAATAAATAACAACGCAGGGATATATTCTGTTATATAGAAAATATGTAATGTTATATAACGTAGCCTATGTAGCCTATTTTCTCTACTTATGCATGTTCGGTTACGCGCATGATGCCGTAGTCTATTGATACGCATACGTCACTGGACTAGGCGAATAACATGGGGAAGCAAAGTCCCCTGTAAGTTTTTTTTTTGTGTCAAATATAAAAATATGTTCCAGTTACATGATGTAAAGGCACGTAGGCCTACCTTAAGCTATCAACAAGAAGCTATTCATATTTTTGTATTAATAGGCCTATATTATGTAATTTTTTGTTTGAGTTTTATTTTTGTGCTTATATAAATATTGTAGGCCTATATTAAATTATTTTTTTATTTTTTACCGTGGTTGATATATAAAAACTCTTTCAAGCACTTTTATATGTTAATTGTTCATTGGCTATTGTTTTTAACGGTCGCCTAAAGGTTGCGTTCTTTTCAGACCATTAAGCAACCGTAAACATTGCAAGTGAAGGACACATGGAGGTGCGCCTTTGATTCAGTCCATCTGATTGGTCACTAAAAACGGTTCACTCACACAGATAATTTTTATTTTTCAAGCCACTTTGAGTTCATTCATTTCATGACCGAACGTGATGTCTGAGTGGGTGAGTTCATCTGGAGTGTAAAATATACTTCAGCTTAGGCTAAGGTAATATTTTGGTGGAGATTTTACTGGAGCAGGGGTCTATTTTAAAAATTAAAATTATTGCTTTTGCTATTTACAGTTTCATTTAGACCTCCAAAGTAAAAGGTAATATTTAGCCAGGTCATCATGACTTCTAACTTTATTATTACACTTAAGCATTATTTTGGATAATTTGGGCTAATTAACTTTAAGTTAGTTAAGTAAGTTAAGTAATGAAACGGAATGCATTCTTGCTCAATACATTTCAAAGGCAAAAATTATACTTTTTAGGATACCTTCGTTTAGACCTCCAAAGTACAAAGTCTATTTTTACAGCTCACCATGAACATTGAGATTACTCCATGCTCACAGCTTTTTTAAAGCAAATGACACTTTGTATTTTGACAAAACGACGCTTCATCCTTGTGAGGAAACGTCTTATTCACGCAGTCTTTAATCTAAAGAAGTTATAATTATGCCTGTTGCTGAAGACTGGGTTTGCAATTTTACTATAAACAGCTATACTAAATATAAAGGTCTCGGTTTCAGTTTCAGGACAGAGGTCAGGACATTTTTGGCGTCTTGACTTCTTCAGTCTGTTTTCCAAGCTTTTTAGTTTTACTTAAGTATGTATGTTTTTAGCTGGATATTTAGATTTTTAAATAGAATTACATTTTGATGTAAGTATATGTAATTATCCATACTTATATATAATTCATCAGTTGTTTTTATATCTCAGCTCTTATCAGATATATGTAGTAGTATGCATCACATGCATTCTCAATTATAATAAGACATGAAGATGACTCAGTTAATCTTAAGAATTATATGATATACTAGATATTTTGTAAGGGCATGGAAATGAAAGACCAACGTTGATCATTCTGGTTTAGAGAAGCCCTCAACAATATTAAATTAAATCAGTGAAGAGCTTCAGCACTGAAATTAACATTCCTTTACTTTTTTAAGGCATTCCTTTACTTTTAAGGCAGGCTAAAGTGCCAGAAATGTATCAGATTGGAAATTAAATAATCTGATTGCATATTCCAGCTTCAACTGCTTATGCTTGTTATATTTTAATTCATGTTGAATGTTTGTTTCCTTTTAGGAGCTTGAGAATAATGTGGCAGACAATGCCTCTAGCTTTAAGGTATGTAATACACATATTACAGATACTGTAAAATACAGCACTTGCCTTTAACATGGTGTCCAGTGGCTTCATTCTGATGTTTGATTGATACTCTACACAGTTAGAAACTCTCCTCCTCAGTCAAATCTTGATTCCTCAGATAAATCCACTTTTGTTCTGGTTTTATGGTCGTATCAGTGTCCAAATACTGTTTCTAAAATATTCTCAACATAGCAAAAGAGCATTTTGAGTCCGAGTGTCCTGAGTTGAATTGTGGACAGACCTCTTTCATATATGGCATATTTTGGCTTTCATGACTCCAAAATGTGACCTTGGACCCCTCTTTTTGGCAGTTAGCAGAAGGGCCCTTGCTCTTCCAAGAGGTCCCGTGCTGAGTAAAACAGAATCCAGTCTCTCAGATCACTGTAAGCCCTGTCAATCAAGCTTGGCTTGCCTTTGGACATGCCCTCTGTCTCTACCTTTCTCTGACTCAGGTGGTGATTAAGGTCTTTTCAACACATGCTAAATCACACCATTGCCTTAAAGACAACATGGAATTGTCTGATATCTGCAATCATGCCTCAGGCTCACTAGGAGTCATTTATGGATGAGAGAATATCTCATATTAAAACAGTCTATAACTTCGGGTCAGTTTTTTCTCTACGTTACAATGAATGGGGAGTGAAGATTCCAAGCTTTCAAAATGTGCCATATTTTAAACTCTTTAAAGTCATATAATAGCTGTGTGTGTGGAAATTTAAGTCAGTGAGTTGAACTTGAACAAATCATTCAGTCCAGATCAGTTGATTTAATGAAAGTCCAAATCAGGCATTTATAGGGCACACTTGAAATATACTGTATGATACTGACATATGTGCATCCTTGCTCCAGTCCCTATTCATTGTTATTGCTTGGGATAGAGCAACAAGTACATTCTGCAAAATTTCTCTTTTTTGTGTGTTTAAGAGAAGAATTAATTTATTGAAGTGCTCGAAAAAAATATGAGATTGGTGGAAATTTATGTTTCAATGCAATTTGTGTTTAACACTGCACTCACTTTGTTCACAAAAGCCAAAGAGTTTTTCGCAATCTCTTATTATTTCCATCACTAGTTCTGCTCACTTGGAAAAGTTTTGCAAGCGAACACAAAAGTGAACCCAAATTTTTCGAGAAAAAGCTAAAGTTTTGCAAGTGAACCGAAAGGCATTGAAATATAATTCTGTCCTCCAATCTCGTATCTTTTCCATCATCATGTCCTCATTGGGGCTCTGTATGATGGATCGCACTGACATTTTTGGGCGGACTATTCCTTTGAGATACAGTGCATGCTCTTAATTGAATCATTTCAAGAGCATATAGCATTAGTTGAATATCAGATGTCATTAAACAGAAATAAGTGTTTGTCTATTGATGAGGATAATCGCATTTAAGCCTCTTGAAGGGACTGAGGACTGTAGCGGATGAGGTCACAAGGCACTGAAGGCGGTGAATTGATGATGGCCACACTACAGCTCTCACTACAGTGTAACCTACACAAAATGATAGATTTTCAAGAAAGCAATGTGTCTTATCATTCTACGTAAAAGTACTAATTAGTATAGACCTGAAAACACTGTCATCGATGACAATAATAGCACTTCTGTTGACTGCCTCATGATTGCTCTCGAGACTCAGCTGAGATTACAGACGGTTGTTCAATTGGATCTAGCATATTTATAGTCAGGTACTCACAAAGCACTCATACACTGAGGTGTCAGACAGCACAGTCTTCATATTACCACTGATTTACGAGTCAGCACCTTGAAAAGGAAGCACTTCAGATATGCATTGTCTCAAGAGCTGATATTATTTTAATTGATAGTCCATGAATTGTACAGATGTCCAAAACTGCAGGCCAATACAGCAACCCCAAAAAGTATTTGGACACTTTAGAAACACTTAAAAATGAAATGTCTTTGCATTACATGCAAGTATAATGTGCAGATGCCGATAGTTAGATAGATCTAAGTTTAGGTCTACTGTAGATTGCTGCCTGTGCTGTGGACAGTCTCAGTTAAACAAACACAACAGTGTGGCGCACCTTTCCACCATAATCCTGGATTACAGAGGGCTGCTGAAGGAACATGTAATCTGTGAGAGTGTCTAATCTCAGGGTTTTGAGTGCATTTCTGTCAGGGAGAGAGATCCATAGAAATAGATAGAGGGATAGTTTTCACAGACTGACCCTATTCTGTGTCTGCACAAAGGTCTTGGTTGGTGTATTATGTCATCTGATGCTGATTATTTTTGGCCGCATTCTGTTTAGGCCGCAGACACAGTGACACAGTTAGCAAAGACCCATAAGCCAAAACCTGACCTAAATGGCCTGATGTTTGGGACTGTTTTCACTGATCACATGCTGACCATCGAGTGGAGTCTTGAGGAAGGCTGGCAAAAGCCGCATATCCAGCCTTTTGGGAACCTGTCCATACATCCAGGCTGTTCTGCCTTGCATTACGCTATACAGGTGTGTCCTCGCCATCTGTGTGGTTGGTTAGACATCAAATAAAATCATTTGACTTCCATGGCTATTATAGATTTATGATTTATGTTAAAATGTAAATGTGTACTGTGTGCAGCTTTTTGAGGGTATGAAGGCGTACCGGGGGCCAGATAACAAAGTGCGTCTCTTCAGACCCATGATGAACATGAAGCGGATGCAGAAGTCCGCCCACAGGGCCTGTCTGCCTGTAAGATCGACATCTCTCCCCTCACATTCAGGATATAATTAGGATAGCGACACTAAACTGCAGTTCTGTTTCTCATTTTCTTTGTTTATCTGTAGAGTTTTGATGGTGCAGAGTTGTTGGAGTGCATCAGGAAGTTGGTGGAGGTGGATCAGGACTGGGTTCCTCACTCAGACTCTGCCAGTTTGTACATCCGTCCCACCTTCCTGGGCACAGAGGTTATAGCTACACAAAACCACCATTCTTGCAATAAACTCATTATTTTCAGATTTTCATTTCTAGTATATTTTATAAATATACTAAGGTCTGAACATGCATTTATGATTTGTTCCATTTATAATGGCGTTTAAAAGGAAAAGTGTTATGTTTACAACTTACAAAAGTATTTTAATGTAATATAATAATTTATTGAATATTATGATTTTATCATTTTAACTGGCAATAAAAGCTGGTAATTTAGTGTAATATTATACTGTAATATTATACTCCAAAATATGTTCATAGATATAAATCTTGGGGTAGTAACGCATTACAAGTAACTTGAGTTACGTAATCAGATGACTTTTTTTCAAGTAACTAGTAAAGTTTACAACAAAATATCGGAGTTATTTTTTAAATAAGTAACGCAAGTTACTTTGTTTTCCCATTATTGACTGAGAGCTCTCTTGTCCCCATGTTGAGAAAAATCAGGAGTAACGTAACTCTAACTAAGTAACACGATTAATTACTTTTTAAGGGAGTAATGCAATATTGTAATGCATTACTTTTCAAAGTAACTTTCCCTAACACTGAATCCATGACAGCTATAAATTCAAAAATCTATACTTTTGCATTACATGAACACATGAAGGCTTGTAACCAATATTCTCGTTACATATGCATGTGTGAACAGCCCACCCTTGGTGTGAAGAAGCCCTCCAGTGCATTGCTGTTCGTCATCCTCAGTCCTGTGGGCTCTTACTTCAGCACAGGAGCTAAACCAGTGTCTTTGTGGGCCGACTCTAAATACATCCGAGCTTGGAGAGGAGGGACAGGAGACTGCAAGATGGGAGGGTAAGCAACTCAGCAAGAGATATTTCACTGTGTTTGTTTGTGTGTCTACATGACTCAGTATTTTACTACAAAACACTCATTCATAAATGAATGAGGAGCATTGTTGCACTGGCACGTACTCACCCTTGATCCAAATCCTGCAAGCTTGGTTTAATTTTGAAAGCCTCATAGTAAACTTTCGGATTTGTGTGTGCTAACGTTTTAAGTCTGTGATATTTGGCTCACGTGGCTCAAAACTTCTCACATGAGAGCAGAACTACAGTAGCTTTAGCAATGCAGCCAGTGCTTTAACAGCCTCTGAAGGGAGGATGATGCAACAGGGCAATGGGGTTTTGCAAGGTGAAGATCTCTGATTGCGAAGAAGATGCAATGTGTGAAACCTGCATTTTTTTAGGAACTATGGAGCATCTATCTATGCCCAGTATGAGGCAGTGGATTACGGCTGTCAGCAGGTTCTGTGGCTGTATGGGGACAACCATCAGATCACAGAGGTCGGCACCATGAACCTTTTCCTCTACTGGATCAATGAGAAAGGAGGTGATGACAGTTGATAATCAAACATTTGTGAAAAGTTACTCTTTCACTCTAAGTTTTGATAGATTGTTTATGTATATTTGCTTTAACAGGCAATATAGTATGTGGAAGTCAAAGTATATAGAGCTCAATGTAAATTTGCAGGACCTTCAAAAGGCTACAAATCAATAATGATTTATATTCTCATTCTCTGGCTTGGTGCAGATCACTAAAGACCTCTAGTGGTCAAAAGGAAAGCCATGTCTTTATAAGAGACGTTTAGGATGAAAAACCTATGGATTTTTTTTCTTTCCAGAGGAGGAGCTCGCAACACCACCTCTAGATGGCATAATTCTGCCAGGCATTACACGGCAAAGCATCCTAGAACTTGCTCGCAAATGGGTAAAAACTGTTAAAACCATACTGTCAGATACAAAATGTGCAAAAAATGTATATTCAAGGGTACAACAGCTTGTCACTGGGGTGGGGAATTACCTTTGTACCTTATCTACCATTAAAATGTGCATATTAGTATCTTAGACTAGTAATATACCCTACTATGAACCTTTTAGGGGTAAATAAAAGGTAATACGGTATGAAGTTGATAAGGCGCAAAAATAAGCTATAAAGTTGTCTCTTTAAGGGTACTGCACCAGTGAAATGCTGTTGTACCGCTAAAGGGGTCACAGCCATAATTGGAGAGTTGTGAGGATCTAAGCACAGCATCACTTTATTCACTATTTAATCAAAACAACCAGCACACAGGAGAACAGGACTAACACAACCTACTTAACATAGACGCGAACAGACAAAAACCATCTGAGGGTTATTTATACACAGGTTAAGGGAAGGGAGAAAACAAGGAGCTGGTGGAATTAATCAGTTAACAAATGAGTAACCATAGAAACAAATGGGAACATACATAGAAACCAAGACAAGAACTAACACATGAAAAATAGAATCATGTGACGAAAGTTAACATTTTTGCATACATTTTTTTTCTTTTTTGTGTGTTTGTCTTGCATATGCTTGGTTCAAATTGTTTGTTTTTCATTTTTGTGAACAGGGTGAGTTTAAAGTGTCCGAGCGCTATTTGACCATGGCCGATCTTCAGCAGGCTTTGGTGGAAAACCGAGTGAGGGAGATGTTTGGTTCTGGAACAGCTTGTGTCGTTAGTCCAGTTGGCAGGATCTTATATCAGGGAGAGGTGAGTTTAGTTTGTTTTGGCTGGAAAGAGCACCGCACGATAGGTCATTATCAAAATATGTAGGCGAATGAACAGATATCCACTTCTGGGTCAAAAACTTGGCCAATGTTTTGTTTTACTTTTTTTCAATTAGATTTTCCACATGTTTTTCTTACACTAATCTCCTGCCCATTAGAATCTACATATTCCATGTGAGGGAAGCCTCCCTCCACTTGCCTGCAGACTGTTAAATGAGCTCACAGATATTCAGGTAAGACACCAAACAAACACACACATACACACACACTACAATGTTTTATAGCCCAATATAATGTACAGTGCTTAGCATAAGTGAACACACCCATGCTAAAGTTGACTAAAAAGAGGAATCATCTTTTGGAAATTGATCTTAATGCCTTAATTTAAAAAACGAGGAAAAATCCAACCTTTAAGGACACCAATTTTCTTTGTGAATGAATAATGTATCGTAAATAAATAAATGTTCTTCCTTAAAGAGATTGGCATGGTACTTTCCATAAGATCATCTCTCAATACAAATCAAACCAGGTATTAGGCTAACTGAAATAAAGCCATGCCAATCTTTAGGTATGGTGAAGGGTATGTGATGATGTGGGGCTATTTTAATTCCAAAGGCCAAGGGAACTTTATCAGGATGCATAGTATCCTGGATCCATGAAATAACTGGCTAAAATATTTAAAAATACCAATCTTCCTGCCTCTATGGGAATTTAACATAGGGGTGTCCTGACTTATGCACCCTGTATTTTAAGGAAGACCATTTATTTATTGTCGATACATTATTCATTCACAAAAGAAAATTGGTGTCTTTAAAGGTTGGATTTTCCTCATTTTTTAAATAAAGGCATTAAGATCAATTTCCAAAAGATGATTTTTTTATTCATCTTTTTAGTCAACTTTAGCATGGGTGTGTTCACTTATGCTAAGCACTGTATGTGTCATTTGTAACAGTATACTATTTAGTAATCAATATTGTAATCAATATTGCACAAGTAAAGCATATCTCCTCTCTGGTTATGTCTTGAGCTGCATGGTTGATAACACTTTCTTCAACTTAGCTTAATGACCTCAGTGTATGTGCACTTAAAAGCTAAATAAATAAATAAAAACCAATGAAATAGAAATAAAGCAAAATAGATTTTCATTCAGTGTTATATTAACTGGGAAACAAATACATTCATACTTGGTTAGTTTAGATATTGTGTCTTTTCAATTACAGGAATTTAATTATTTTACTGCCATGCATGGGGATATTTTGTTTAGATTTTTCCTAGTTTGCAGTTCGTTCATTCATTCATTCATTCATTCATTCATTCATTCATTCATTCATTCATTCATTCATTCATTCATTCATTCATTCATTCATTCATTCATTCATTCATTCATTCATTCATTCATTCAGCTTAATATACCTGGTAATATATAATATCAAGTTAATCAAGTTTTTAATTTAATGTATTCTCGCAAACAACTCTTAACAAGAATAATAATTTAAAAAAATATTCTTATTATATACCCCCAACCCAACCCACGTGGGACGGATAGAATTATGAGGTTTTGGGTGTGTTATTTTGTTTTCATCGTTATAACATATTTGCCTCGTTGCAGTATGGACGGACCCCCAGTGACTGGTCTTGTGTCGTATAAAGGAACCTCACTGTTGTCAACGTACACAAGCTCTTCAACACATTTTAAAACATGCACATTATACAACAAAAGCTTTATTTGTGGATACATGGAATAATTACCTGCCACGTAGATGTATTTTTTGTTTTGAAAAAAGTTTACCAGCTAACTAAAATCTAGACTAGCAATAATGTGTTGCTCTTTATCAGACTACACCACTCAGATGCCTCTATATGGTCACATTTACTCAATACAGTTTATTCTAATAATCAGTAATCAGCAAATCACAGTTCGTGACCAGCTGTTTCATTAATAATATAGCTGAGGTGTATGAGATTTCCTCACTGTGTAGTTTATTGATGCTGTTGATAATATGATAATATGCCATTTCTGTCGTATTGCACAAAGCTCTTTAAGTTTCTGAAAGACATTTATAGATATTTTAAGGAAGTATGTTTTTGTGGTAGAACTTTATTTTTAAAGAAATTTCAATGTTTAATGTATACCACCAAGAAATGTTTATGTTGTAACGTTTAATTGTAGCTGATAATAGTGATTATTACAGCTATTGTGTTTAAAACTCTTCCATCCATGTGCACAAACTTAGAGTTGCATTATATTTGATGGAGAACATTTTTGCACTCAAAAAAGGGAACCTTAAAATCCACATTAAATTTGTTTGTAGATGCTTGTATGATCAAACAAAGTGATCCCTCATTTAATATGAAATATAAATAAGATTTTAACAGTTACATAAGCACAAATAAATTAAATGATAGACATTCAGAGATGTGTAATAGATATAGTATTGAGTTTTTTGTGATGTGATACCAGGAATATAGATATATTGTACTCAATCTTTTGATCGAGATATACTTAAAAGTATAATTATGTATTTAAAGTATACTTGGCTTGAAGTTGTGTTAACTCTTTTGATCGAGTAGCCTATTAAATATACTTTTTTTACATAGGTTTTCATATACTGTCTTATGCAACTTACATGGTTTGAAAATATTGATTAGAATATTGATATAAAACAGATATGTTTCTAATTCTGCCTATCTGAATTTTTGTGTAGGCTAGTCCGCTGGTTGTGTACAACATAGGAATTTACTTTAATTCTACTTTACTCTTTCTCCACCATTGACTGAATTTTCCAGCTATCCATGTTTTCACTGTTATACGGTAGGGGGCGCTATGACACATCTTCTAGTACAGAATCTCCGGATCAAAACACAGGAGAAGAAGAAGCTGAAACAAGTGATAGAAGATTGCTCACTCAAATGTAATATAACGTGATAATCAAACATTAAACAGCGTGTAAATCAAAACTGCTTAATGTTACCACATGAAATGAAGCGTAACCCATGAAGAGAAAACGACTGTGAAGCTTTGGGGGTGTTGGACTCGATCTACTCCATCTGTGTTTTGATCATCGTTCTGAATCTGAATCTGAATCTATATAAAATAATATATAAATAGTAAACTATAAGTATAATGGCATGTTCACTTAAAGAAAACTTACAAGTTGACTAAACTAGTAGTTACTGAGAGTAGTTACACTTCAGTGTGTAGCCTACTTTCATAAATAAAAAATGTAGCCTACTACTTGTATTAAAATAGTAAACAACTAGTTATAAGTTCACTTGTATGCATTACAAATGAGAAACCTAGTTGTGTAGGCTACTTTTACAGTTGTGTAAGTTTACTGTTACACTTACAGTAGCTACACTTAAAACGTATACTTTTATATACCAAAAGTGGGCCAATTTAGTCCCAAGCAGTATTGAAATAGTGCACTTACAAGTTTACTACAAGTACACATTGATATTAGCCTGGGTGCCAGCCCGAACCCCGCCCACAACATTTTTTGATCGGGAAGTTCCAAGTACTCCTCGCTGCAGACTGTAGCGCGGTGACGTCACGTATATACAATACGTCACGTACGTACGTCACGTATGTGTTACCACGCATGCGCCATATCGCGGCGACAGCGCATGCGCGTTACGCGGTTACGTCACGTGTTTTGACGTCCCGCGTCAATTTGACATAATATTTAACAAAAATGTTAATGTATTAAAAAACTCTAAGGTAATAATGAAAGCAGCAAAAAGAAGTAAAACACACATCCATAGTTTTAACTATGCCTGATTTAAGGTAAACTTATGAGAAATTTTAGAATGTATTATTGTGTAATATCTGTGTAGTATTTTATTTAAAGTTTATTTTTACATTCTATTGAATTGAATGCCTTTATTGTCATTGTACTTTACAATACAACGAAATTGGTAACACTCTCCACTGGTGTATACAATAAATACATTTAAATAATCCTTACAGTACATAAAATAATATATATAAATAAAACAAACATAAAAACAGTATAAAGTTGAATTAAAACAGTGCATTTGGAAAGAAGCTATTTTTGAATCTGGTGGTGCTGGATTGTATAGACCTATAACGCCTACCAGAAGGCAACAGTTGAAACAAAAGGTGACCTGGATGAGTATTGTCCTTGATGATGTTTTTGGCTCTTGAGAGAGTGCGACGAAGTGCAATGTCTGACAAAGATGGTAAAGGGCATCCTATAATGTTTTCTGCAGTCTTGATGATTCTCTGCAGAGCCTTTTTGTTGGCAGTAGAACACCCAGCAAACCACACAGAGATGCAATATGAAAGAATGCTCTCAATGGTGGATTTATAAAAGGACACCAGCAGCCTTAGATTCATTCTGTCTTTTATTGCACTTCACTTTGTAAATTACAAAATTACTGTAAACACTGATGGCACCTTATATATTTCTTATTTTAATCATTCCCCTTTAATAGTTAATAATTGTTTATTTTTGTGCATTATATAGGCTATCATAAAACATTTATTCCAATAAAGTAGTTTGAAGTTAAACAGCACATTGTCAATCTCTGTATCCGATATTATGCATGCCAACTCAAAAAAAAACTCATAACAGTCATAACTTTTATTTCAAAACAAAGATAATTGTGTAAAAGAAATATGTACAAATACAGATAATCACATACATCTGTACACACACAGACAGACAGACACACACAAGCACAGAGACAGACACGCACACAGAGACACACACACACACACACACACACAGAGAGAGAGAGAGAGACAGACAGACACACTACTCAGCTTGAAATTCCCCTCCATCATTGAAAAAACAATCAACTGAGCATAGCCCTCAACCTCCTTATCAGAATAAAATCAACGCAGGACTCCCCTTCTGCCATCACCCACACACCCAGCCCCAGGTGGGCAGTCCTTGTATATTGCAGTGCAAGCACAGAGTTAACGAGTAGGGCACCCGGAACTCTTGCTTGTATTGCTGGAAAATGTACTCCAGTTCACAACACCTAATTTAGATAAAATACAGAACAAACAATATGAATCATTTTGAAGAAAGGCATTAATACAGTACAGAGTCGTCATACAAGGAATATATATATATATATATCATTTTTTTAAACAAAGTTATTGGCTTTGTCTGTAAAGTACCTAAGTACCTAAGAGACTTTAACATAAACTAGTTAAAAAAAAAAAAGTTATGCTGTCTAAATAATAAAAACAACTAAGGAGAATCACAATGAATCTTATTTGAGCAAAATACAATGTTCAACTTCATTACTTTAATTAATTTCACCACAAATGTATTTAACATAACTTACGTACTGTAAGTGTACTACATTCACGAATGTAACTTTTACAGTACGATCTGATACTGAGGAACAACATTTCTTTTGCAATGGATGGAACAATCAACTACATTACTTACATAAGTCTTTCTGCTCTATTTGAAGACATCTTTCAAACCTTAATTTGTTTAAAGGCGAATTAAGACTTATACATATCATTTTAAGACTCGCTGAAACTCGCTGAAGTCATTTTGATAATATGAGATCATAAAACATAACATTTTTTGTAAAATCTAAAACATTTCTGATGCGCTCTATGGAATCTCTTACAATTAAAAGCCGTTAACACAAAAGAACAATTGTTAAAACAGCATAAATAATCCTTATTGACTTACTGCCATCGAATCCATCGCCGGAAGTGATTGTAATGAACTGCGCGTGCGCAAATGCGTATAATTTGCGCGTGCGCACATGCGTCTACTTTGCGCATGCGTGGTAACACATACGTGACGTACATACGTGACGTGTATACGTGATGTCACCGCGCTACAGTCTGCAGCGAGGGGTACCTCGGAAGTTCGGTCGTCGGGCCAATCAAATTGCCAGGGCGGGCTTTATACGATGATGGACAGATGATCTGCAGGGACGTAATCCTCACGTTATCAAAGAGTGCTTGGGTTGAACTGGTTTCCCTCAGAGATGACTGCCGCTGGAGAACTGAGATGTAGAGATTCCGCTATCGCGTCCGTTGTAAAAGAAATCGACAGCGCATTCATTTTAAAAGACGAACAGAGAACTGCAATCAAGGCATTTGTCGATCGGAAAGATGTGTTTGCCGTCCTTCCTATGGGATTCGGCAAAAGTTTAATTTATCAGCTGGCTCCGATGGTAACTAAGAAGATGGGACGCAATGAAAACCCTGTGGTCGTTGTGGTTTCTCCTTTGGTCGCACTCATAGAGGACCAAGTAAAAGAAGCAACACTCGTTATTTTACTTCTTACAGCGTGCGTGCATTTGAGTTCTGTAGTTGACAACTGTGCTATGCAAAGTAGTTGACTTACTGCGTTGCTCTCATTGGTTGTAGGTCTATCCAATTGAGTGCAGAGTTTTTTTTTTCCTGGTTCGGTTAAGGCACGCCTCATAATCAAAGCCCAATGAAGCAGCAGACTCACATTCTGACTAGAATATGAGTAGGACGAAGTCAGGCTACATTGATATTAGTAAACACATAAAGTATACTTAAAAATATACTTGAACATTACTTAAGTAGGCTAGCCTATACTTCATAAAATTAACTTGAAGGATACTTCTTTTTCGTAAGGGCAATCACACTTGTTTTTGCTATACTTTGTCTTGTGAACACACTTTACACACATTCATCATTATTTAACATGCCCTATAGTTACCTTAGACTTCATTAATGCCTCTCTTCCTCATACATACACACAACATGAAATTAAAATAATATATCCTAAAATAAAATAAAACTCTCCTCCT